ATTCAAGTCAGAGAATGTTGCATATAATTAAATTTTTGCTTGATGCATAAAGTTAAAAGATTAAAACTGATAAAACAAGTTTAAAAAGAGACTTTTCCATTTGATTACATTTTGTATGATGGATTATGCAGAAAAAGTAGAATTGGGCTGAAAGATCTATCGCTTTATCACCTCTTCAGGTTGTAAATCGTGTTTTTAAAAAGTAACTAAGTAACTAAGTAATTAATTACTTTTGAAAATAAGTAATCAGTAAAGTAACGGGATTACTTTTTGGCTTACGTCACTGTCATGAGACATTCTCGCAAAAAATCACGGTTTTAGTAACGCAGTAACGCAGCGTTCCTACGGGAAAGTAACGGTAATCTAATTACCGTTTTTGCAATAGTAATCCCTTACTTTACTCGTTACTTGAAAAAAGTAATCGGATTACAGTAACGCGTTACAAGTAAAGCGTTACTGCCCATCTCTGCTTGTCAGTACTCTTGCTGAAGCATTTTGGATTAACTGAAGGCTTTTCAGGGAGTTTCTAGGACATCCTGATAATAATGAATTACAGTACTCGAGCTTAGAAGTGAAAGAAAATTTAAAAACTCCAAAATACTCCAACACAATATGCCGTGAAATACATTGACTTAATGTGAGTAGGGAGTAGAGTTTCTCAAATACAAGTAAAGTCATCATATTTCCTTTGTTTGAAAACAGCTAGACTTCAGCATTTTTATTTTTTACAGATCGATTATGGAGCACTAAATGATTTCAAACATTAAAGGTTGTTTAATAAAGTAACATCTTTATTTATATACAGTTTATGGAACTGCTGCTTGTCAGAGATCAGCTGTGCTCTTCTGGGCTCAGCTCTGAAGTCTAATCCTGCACATCTGAGGGAGCTGGACCTGAGTAAAAACAATCTGCAGGATCAAGGAGCGAATCAACTGTGTGGTTTTCTGGAGAGTCCACATTGTAGACTGGAGACTCTGAGGTCAGACACTGTGTATTAGCTGTGCTGAGATGAATATGTTTTGTGTGTGTGTGTGTAGACGTTCAATTTACAGGAGAAAAAATTTTTTACAATCTTTTTTGGAAATCAAAAAACTTTGTTAATAGTTTAAGAAGCTGTTATACAATTTGGGTTTTGCAGTATTTTAGTTATTAAATTTATGCGATGCTTCTGTTTTCTAGTCGATATGCAGAAAACAACCCTAGAGACCAACTTTAAAAGAAATGCATAAGTCACCAGTGTGGTATTTACCAAGGAGATGCCCTGTCCCCACTGTTGTCATGCATACAGGGAGTGCAGAATTATTAGGCAAATGAGTATTTTGTCCACATCATCCTCTTCATGCATGTTGTCTTACTCCAAGCTGTATATAGGCTCGAAAGCCTACTACCAATTAAGCATATTAGGTGATGTGCATCTCTTTAATGAGAAGGGGTGTGGTCTAATGACATCAACACCCTATATCAGGTGTGCATAATTATTAGGCAACTTCCTTTCCTTTGGCAAAATGGGTCAAAAGAAGGACTTGACAGGCTCAGAAAAGTCAAAAATAGTGAGATATCTTGCAGAGGGATGCAGCAGTCTCA